GCATATTTAGGAATATCACAATGTCAAATAAGCTTACAAGTACTGAACGTTTAAGAAAACTAGAAGTATTTTTGGGTTCTGAAGTGTTTTTTCTCACATACCCTACGAAGTGATCGATATCTCGGTTGTCATGAGGAAGTGCTGACCGTCACAATATTTGTCAAACAGCCGTTGAGCACTTGCTACATAAGACGAGCATGATCAAAAACGCAAGAGGCTCCCGACAACCATGTTTAGAAGGAAATTAGGAAAGTGACTCACTCGCCCCGGAGACAACACCCGCGATCATAGGACTGCGCAGTAAATAACAGATGCGCTGTGGCCCACAGAACTCGCAGTTCTGACGCCTCCCTAACTGCCCCGCCCACCAAAACTCAAAAGCTAGTCTATGTCACGACCCCAGTTTTTACAACGCATTTTTTAATTCTTCACAGTTAGGTGCAATGGAGGACGCGAAGAAACGTGAGCTAGAGGCGGCAGATATCCCTTTGCTGGCATTAAGCGAGCAGGTCCGGAAAACTCGTCCAGAGAGGCTGCCAGTTCCTCACTTAGAGTCTTCTCCATACTTTTTTTCCTTTTCACTTCCCTGGAGGGTCACCCAGCGACTATGGGTTCGTAAGCACTATCCACAATAGGCAATCACGGGTTTGTCTCTAACAAACATGTTAGTAAACAACTTTAAAACCAGAAGAGACATACTTCTGAGTACTTTCCACGTCCAAGTTTACGAACAAGCTGATAATCATCGATATTTCCCCATTCAATGACGTGTGATTCGTAGTCCCAGTATTCACGCGGTTTCGACGGGTTGACCTGAACAAAAATCCTGTGAAATTCGATGACCAGACAGAAAATCTCAACTAGTTCTCACATCCGCATATACCCTAGCCTTGCTAGGTATGGGAGCCATGCCGGCACGAGAACCGCGAAGCTCGCGAGCTGAAATAGACCTTTTTTCCTTCGTGGGTGCTGTCGTTCTGCGTTATAAGACAGTAAGAAAGAGAATGAGTCGACACTTTATCTAACTCTACATGATAAGGAAGCTCACAGCCAATACTACCTAGTTTTACTGAGAATAAGTGAAGAAATAGCTGGAAATACAAGGCAAATCACGAGAAAAACATGTTCCGGACATTATTGTTGAGAAGTAATGGCTTTGAAAGTGAAGATATCAGCTCCTAACGCTTTCCTCTTCAGGCTAAAAGAATCTAACCGTTCCACTTCACTAATGACGTCCACACAAAAGATAAATAACACAACACTTTTCATGTAAACATTCAAAAAAGGCAACCCATCACATCCGTCCGGCCGCCGAGGGAGGTAGAGCCGGAAATTACGGTGCTTCTCGCGGGACCGCAGACCTCGAAGCGCCCTGCGTCCTTTAATAAGGACTCAAATGTCATCCGTTGCAAATCGGGGGCATTTTCTCTGAATCCTTTGTCATCTTCAGGGCTGTTATTGCTGTTTTAATTCTTTTTTTTCAATACAGGTACATTTATAGGTATGTTGGTGAGGTCAGCATTTCCTTTACGAGTCGGATTGGCAGCCGGGAAGCCCTTGCAAGCCTCACGGGTGAGTACGCATTTCATTAAATGAAGTGCTCGTTTCATCTGGTGATATCCCAAGTCGGATTTTCTTGCTTTTAAGAACACATGGATCCTCCGCAGAGTGTACGCTCCTGATCCGACGCCTCCTGGACGAGTGCAGCGGAATCCACAGGAGTTACCAAATCTGATGAAGCTAGAAGTTGTTGAAATTGAAGCCCATAAACCTGCAGGACCATTGAAAGTGATTCTTTTGCAGGACGTTGAAGGTAAGTAGTAGGCTTGTGCTGCACATGTTTCACTACATCAACTTTGCTCAAATAGATAAATATGGGTGGGAAGCTTCGAGTCTTCAGTTGGTTAGTGCCTATATAATATATAGCTCTAAAGCATCCACCACTCGTGAAAGCTGCTAAATAATTTTCGTGAGAAGGGATCTTTGGGGTTATCTGTAAGGGGGAGGGGTAGTTTTTGGTCGGTGTAGAGGGGTCTTATTTGCTTCCGAGGAAATTGTTTTCGTTGATGACTTTTCGTGGTTTTCTTGCTTGACTGCTGCACTTGACCCTCGCACGGCAACCCTAATAGAAGAAAAGTGGGGAATTTTAGTAAGTTGGAAAAATGGTAGATAGGCGAGAGGGAAAGAATTGGGGTCATAGCAGAGGAGGAAATTCTGACAGGGATTTTGCAAAACTTTCCCAACAGCTGGACGTTCCTAGGTCACCAGTTCCCAGATCCGAAAAGGGTCTTCACCAAAAGTGTTCCCCGGAGCTTTTATCCCCCCCCCCTTCCGCCACGCCGTGCACGAGCATATTTTGTCATCCTCTGACCGGCAACGTTGAGATTAGCTCATTGGACGAGGGATCTATATTGAACTAGCGTTTTCCAGTGTTGTGTTTCCTGCAGTGTGAAAACCCTAAACACAATTGTAATAGCTGCTTGGAAGACTGTTTTCAGGAATAGGACACCAGTTTGATGTAGTTGATGTGGATAGGAAGCTTGCTCGAAATGACCTCCTACCCACTAGGAAAGCCGTATATGCGTCTCCGTTTGATCTCAAGTATTACGCCGGCGTTAAAGAGGTATGTTCCGGATTTTGCGCATGAAACCTGGACGTCCATATTGCTTTCAAGATTTCAGAACTAGGCTAGTTGCTCGTTGATCATGTGTAACCTGCAAACTCTAACCGTAATAAGACAGATTTCACAGTTTGGTGAACTGCTAGTACGACAACCCACGCCGTTATTGGCGCCCATTCCTTTCTCGAGGCTAGAGCTAGCTCTGGAACCACATTGGCTCACTTGCTTGACATGCGCGCCGGGCATGTCAAGCAAGTGAGCCAGTGTGGTAAAATGTAAATCGTGCGGGCAGTAATGGAGGTAGTACATGGCAAGTAAGTGGTCGTTAGACTTGGGGAAACTGCCCAATGCGCGCTGAATGCGGTAACAATGAATCGTCGGACTGCGAAATCTTTCTTGACTGACCATCCACGGTTGTTCCTGTGCAGATACAAGGTTCATTGGTTGTTATGGTGTTTTCCAACATGAACTCGACATTATTGCGGCAATATTGTTTACACGGAACATCGAGCTCACCTTAAAGTCCCCTTCTATGTAAGTATTGGACTATGTCCTAGTTCTGCACGGCAAAAAAATATCGATGCTAGCAGGCAAATTGGTCACCGGTAGTGAAGTTCAATGTCTGTTTAGTGAAATTTGATGTTTTACTCACCACTAAGGACTAATTTCAGAAAATGGCCGACGAATTAGCCAAACGTGTACGAATCCCATATGAGTACATTTGTGTGGGTCGGGATTTACAAGCTCTTGTTGTTCCTATAAAAGTCAGCATGGAAAATAAATGGACTGTTGACAAACAAATCATAAAAGCATCTTTAAGACAGATAGTGAGTTTGAGTTCTCCTTACAGGATTTTCACCTGTAATCAAATACCCCATTCTAGGGCGTTGATATGCTTGACGATTCAATATTCTTTGATGATACCAACATAAGTGGTCCAAATTTCGAGATCGAAGCCAAGCTTATTCGATTTTATGTCGTGGTATGTTGTTTCGATCGTATTGCTTGCATTATTCTCGCCTTTGCTAGGCCGCGCTCATACTCTGCACAAACTCGCATTTTCCAATTCTTACTTGAGATAGTGTCCTTCAGATGTTTCCGAGATTCTGGGATTCTTCAGATACTTAGACTTTGATTTCGTCCCAGTTTCCGTAGTCTTCTCGCTGGCTGTGCCGTCAGGTGGGAAGGGAAGGGGAGGGCTGAGTGTGGCGCGGCGTCAAATGGTTATCCATCATTTGTGGTAAGCTGGCAGGAGGTCACAATTGGTGGAAAACGGGCCGGCATCGCGCCAAACCCAGCCTTCCGACACACCAGCAGCGAACAAGGCTGGGTCCTCCCGATGTAAATGCGTGTTCTACGCATTTACAAATTGAATGCCGCAACCGCATCACTTAGATCGCGAAGTATGAACGATCTGTTCGTTCGCATCGCGAATCATGGACGCGGCCTAACAGTATTCCAGACTAGAGGTCCCTCAAATCCTTCTTTTGTTTTCGTGAGCTCTTAAACTTCATAGCTTTCACAAAACTCGATTTCCATCCTGCACTCACTACCACCACTCTCGTTCGCTCTACACCAATTTGTGCATTATAACCGAGTTTTACTTTCTGCTACTTCATTGTTTAGCCGCGTTCATACGTCGCGAGTAATGAAATTCGGAAATGTTTACTCTAGTTCATTGCGGACGGTTGGGCGTGAGAGGCAGTGAGTGTGTCACGCCGTCCGCCGTCAAAGCAATTCTCTGTTTTCTTGTTGAAGCGCGCATGCGGCAAGTGGTAGAAAACGAGTAATACGAACGATATGATACAGTCATATCACTTGCTCGCTTTAACAACTGGTGGAGAACGGGTTTGGCACCGCGCCAAACTCATCCCGCCTGACACGCCCAACCGTCCGCAGCGAACTACACTATAGGAGACTCAGAGATTCGAGAGAGCGTGTGAGGAGGAAAACATTTGTATCGATCTGGCCATTGGAGAGAGTCGGTGTTCCGGTATCTGGACGATTGAGCGCAGGAGAAAGAAGGGGGCATTCGTCGAACTGGCATTTTGGGAAGTTGAGTGATCCGGCATAATGAGAATCATGATTCGGAGATTCGTTCATTCTGTCAAAAACACAGGGTCGTCGAATTTCCGCAATCGCTAGCGACCGACGCTGAACGCTACCCGTCCGCTTTACAATCGCCCGAAACATTGAGTCGCTCAAAACGCCGGGTCGCTGATTCTCCTCGACGCCAAATCGTGTTTTCCCTGGCTGCTCCAATTTCCGAATCGCGGAGGCCAGTTAATC